AAGCAATATTTATCACATAACATAGTAAAAGCATCTTACGCTTATTATTACACTTGTTTTGAAGGGTAATAAATACATGTATGAAACAGCACAGTAGACACACATACATTAACTGTAATGCAGTGTATGTAGGACACAGAGTTTACATTCCCAGAAAACACATAACGTTATTATAACGTTACCATAACGTTAATGTTACCAAAAAACGTTATCACCACGTTATGGTAACGTTATAAAACGTTCTGTGTTTGCTGGGCTGTTATTTGTGAGGGTGAACGGGCCGAAGAGGAATACCTCTGAAGATAGGGGAGCACGTACCCACTGTGCCTTCTATGCTTGTCCTTGAACCTGTAAATGCGGACCACACTTGCTATATACTTGCTCTGTACATATACCAGAGGTCAGCTGGGTAATGACGTCATTTTTATTCAAAATTTCTCGCTCACATTACAGAAAGATGCGGAGAAATATCTGTGAATATCTTGCGAAAATAATATCGCTGTGGCCCCTGGTAGAGGATAGCCTTATGCAGGGTTTTATAACATGATGAGGGCACGAGAACAATTTTGCTTTCTTCAGTCTGACATTTAATTTTGACTGCTGATATCCTGGTCGATAATGATTGAAATATGCAATCAAATTGCACGAGATATCGCGCGGAAATATATTCACAGCGCAGATTTCTATGAGCTTTCCGTCAATCGCTTTTTAAGTGGCGGTTCCAGTCCAGGGCTGCACACTTAACATTAGAACGTGTTAGCGCATCTTACTATATGTGTGATAACGTTATTCTTAGGAGTTTAATAACATCGGACTGTGGGACAACAGTGGTATTAGATGTACTCCTATGGTAAGAAATCGTAATTGATATGTCTACCAGCGTAAGGAAAATAAGGGTCCGTGAAACAGAAAGTGCGCCCTCCATTTAGTAATAATGGTTAGGGTTAGCCTGAGATAAGTAGGTCAAAATCTAGGGCGAGGCTTACCTGTACAAATGAATGGGAAGCGGACTCTCTATTTGGGGGACTCTCTGTCACGTTACACCGGAATAGTAGGTGCTAGATTCTGTTGTCAAAAATTAACTGCATTAAGTAATAGACTTTAAGAAATTAATCACTCTAGGAGAAGTAAAATTTTGAATTCTCTCCTACAATGTAGACTACACTGAGATCTGGGACCTTTTATTCTGTACGTCATTAGACCTATAAACTGACCAGCGATCGGCAAAAACTGGTGACCAATTCCCAACATATACCTAAGGTGGACGGCCGCTGGGCTTGCTACCATCTGATCACCCCATTTGCTCGGAGAACGTTAGGAATTGAACGCGTGAAAATTGCACTCTTCTTACCTGACGAGGTGATGAAATTATTGGCGTGACCGAAAACAACCAACACAAGGGAACAAAACACTATGAATTATTTAAGCACATTACCATTATTCAACAAAGAATCCATCACGATGAGACGTGTTAATATTTGTAATTTTTGACACGGTTCGATTAATTGCGTGGGATAAATACAATAAATAACGCAGTGACACGCTATCGGTCAATACTGACATCGTTCCCTAGACTTTTGTATGGCGACCCTTGACCAAACAAGATTGCACTACCCGCCAGGGGTACTGGAACGTAGGCTGAGGCAGTGCTTTGGGGGTGCACTTGGCTGCAGGCCTACAATGCATGTAAGCAGGTAATTTGTACCGCCTGCGGTACTCAGCAAGACGCTGAAGGAAAAATGAGCGTCTTCTTATGGACTTGGGGAAAGTAAATCTATATTAAGATAACAAAAATATTTTCAGGAAGAATACTTGTATGAGTATATTTGTAAGAATAGTATCTGGGGAGGAGGTCAAGAACCCTAGGGTTCTCTGCCAAACCAGGAAATAGCTTTCACGATTTTTTTCAAGGTTTTAGTACTTTAAAAGAAATGCTGTATGTGAAAGATATTTGAAAAACCTGAAACGCGCTTTAGAACTAAATACCCTTTAGAATTTGCCGTAAAGTGCATGTTTACACCACTGCTCTAATTTTTTACGTCAAGGTCTGGCAGGTTATATTGTGGGTCATGTTTTATTCAGTAGACCATAAATGTTACCTTACTAGGTTATGAACTACCTGCTTTGTGATCCAACAATCGCTGAAAACATTCAATCACTCCCAAGCATCACGCTTCTCGTTGATATCTTCTGGTGCTTTCACAACGATCTGAACAAATTGATGAGACCCTTTCATCAAGGAAACATCAATATGGGGATAAAGAGCTCCTTCTCAACAGAAGGATGTGCAATTTATGCCACTTGTGGAGGATATAAATCCTTTTCAGTGCTGCCTCGGGTGCGCTTTGATGATAAATGTGAGTTCAAACGGCGCAGAGAGGCTGTCTGACCTGATGACACGCAATTTCAATTTTCGAAACCGGTTTCTTTGCAATAGAAAGCATAAAAGAGCAGATATTTTGACAACAAAACGATGACTTACGGGTTCCTGTGCTACTTTTAGCAACTTTCAGAATGTTGCAATGATTTATCGAATCCCCATTAATGCCCTTTATCTGACAGTTACGTCAGAGTAATTGTTCGGTCTCAAGAATAATTCGCGATTTAGCTGCGCAGATGATGGCGTAACGTCTCGACTCTGACATTCAATTTCCTTTTGAATTTTACCGTCTAAGAACCAACCAAAATGTTGTCCAGTAATGTTCAAGTACAGAACGAGTTTGCACCCTGGATAATTATGACTTTAACCGACACCGGTCAAACAAAACAAACCTAATACAAATCACAACATTTAAGATAACGCTAACGTTCCTGACAGTGTTATCAACACATACATATATAATTTTACCAGTGGTTCATGTGGAATCAGACTGACCAAAAATTAATATCAGGCTAAACACTTCTCTGTCAGTAAGTCGTACATGAATCAATGTAGTATCAGACGACATAAACTCTAAACCTCGTTGTTCTTGGTTTCCCCAGTCTAAGTACTTATCTGTAGGATGGAAGTGGCATATATCGACCGAAAGATAACGACAGATTAAGGGAATAGCGATAGACGGATTTCTTCGCCAATCAAAACGACCTTGGAGCAACGTTGGATTATTTTGGATTAAATGAAATCCACTTTGTTCCTGGCACGTAATAGATTCTGGATATTCATTTGTACTGCTCACTGTATGCCTGTGTGTTACTATGATGTTTTCCAAGTAAATCAGCTAAATTTTTGTCACAATAATAAGTTGAGTTTTGATGCTGGTGTGCAAATTATGGTTTTATGATCAACTTCTTCAAATCAATTGCTATCGAACTGACATGCAGAGGTCTATATTTGCAAGAAAGGTACTTGTAAGTTGAGTTCACTGTTAACCCTGACATTTTGTCTCTTGTACACATAGTACGCTTAAAAATAATATGTGAACCGAGTAACTACGTATATTGGTCTTCTTCCCAAATGTGCCCATGAAATATACATGTAGCATAGGTGCTGAGCGTACTTTTGCCCCAATTCCGCGTATTTACGTGTGCACCAATGAACTCAAAGCACTTCAGACTTGGGAGTTCAACACCATCTGAGGAAATTTCGGTGGGCTAGATGACCAAGATCGATCTCATTCGACCAAAATGTGTATTTTTGGTAAAGAGTTAGGATATGTAATATTGACATTGGGCTGGAAGAGACAGAAATTGAAAAAAAAAACAAAAACAAAAAAACAAGGCAGGCTATAAAACCTCTGCCTTCTTGAATTTAAATGCAACCGTTATCTTATCCCAGTCTCCCTGTTGTTAGATTTAATTTAACGGGAAGAAATAGTAAAACGTTATTGATTTAGACTTATTATTATATAAGTTATGGTTTTGAATTGAGGATGATGCATGAATTTCTTTATTGCTGCCGAAGTTACTGATGGTAATTCAATAATTCCATCTTTGTAACACAACACAAGCTGAGCGATCTTAAATTCTACGGAGATTTGAAGCGATTTGAGGTAATTTATTGTCGCACTCCTTCATTTCCTGCAATTGCGTACAGCTAGTACATGTACAAGATAGCACTTTAATTGCAATGTAGTAAAGAACGGAACAGCTTTCACTGGGACATCTTGGAAATTTAATTGATTTCGCCTTGTTGTTATCAAGAAAAGATTCTGCGAAATATCTGTAAGGCTATCAGCTTGATGGACGGCTCATGCCTCATCACACTGCCCGTGTATTATCTGATAACAAGGAAATATGACTTAATTTACTGCATCGATGCGGGAAGGACATTGTCAAAACACTACCATCCGTCTTTTCTTGTGCAAGGCATGCTAAATCATATTCATAATCTAATGCGATTTTTCCACAAGGGAAAGAACTTTTTCACCAGAAATTATTGCTTAATTACTGTGTCGATACACTGTCGACGGTCAATTTTTTAATTCTGTATGTATATTCCAAGACGCTATGCATACTAAAGTATATTCCATTATTCTTCAAAACAAATATTCAGCGATGGAAGAAATGGGAGGGAAATTAATACAAAAATTGCCTAATTACGGCGATGGTATAAATAGTCCGCTGTCTCTTTGTTAATATGAGCTAATTCTAGTCCAATGCATACAAAATTATATAAATATTTTGTAATTTAAGACCAATTTTCCCAAAAGTGTGTCTAAATAGTCCACTGGTTCGTAGTTCGGATACCCTTTATATGCTTTTTAGGGGCATTTTGTTATCTTTACTATGTGCTATGTTTTCCTGCACTGTTTTCAAACGGTTTGGATATATTTAAACATAACAGTTCCTTTGCGTGCTGATCGAGATATGCCTTTTAATGGACGCGTGTGTCAGTTTTAATACAGTTCACCTTATATTGAAAGCATTTTTATTTTCATTATTATTTCAGGCTAAGAGGGTGAAAGATTCTAAGTTATAAGTGCAATCCCATGAAGTGTCTCTTTGAATGTCTAAATAAAATTCATTTCAACAAAATTAAAATGAAGACACCAATCTCTCACCTTTTCATTGGCAGTGCTCTCTTGACAGGCGACAGTGACCGCCATTAGAAGCAGGACCATTCCCGCTTGATGTAGTTTCATCTTGTAGTCGATCGTTGTCCCAGTTTTCGATGAAGTCTATTTTTCGACTCTCACTTCGGTACAATATTAAGTCGAGAATTCGGTTTGTCTTGTTGTTGCTTCAAATCTGAATTCAGTACCGTTTCTGTTTGCAATGGTCTTTCTTTGTTTCGTCGGCGTTTTTCTATAGAATGGCGGCAGTGGTTTTCCTTTGCCTTCGATGCCTTCTCGAGTACGCCTCGTCAATGGAATTGTCTTTCTTGTTCACTCGCTGTTTACAATTGACTAAATGAAGTCACACATTTCAGTCGCGATTATTATTTCCAGCAGATTATGCGGCTCAACCAGAGAGAGAAAGAGAGGGAGATATACTCGGGAGGCTCGAAAGGGTGGATACCAAAAACCAGAAGAAACGAAAAGGACGACACAGCATTTTGAGAGCTCGTAAGGGATAAACCCATTATATGATTAGGATACTATACACACGGGTGTTTCTTTGACGGTGCTCTAAAGTACCGATTGGTCGGAACAGATCAATAAAAGAGACGAACAATCAATCTCGAACACTATTTTATTGCCAGGATTATCAAATAATGTGGATTAAAGAGGTTTGCAAGGGAGGGCATCCAAGTAGGGGCTACTAGTAACGTAAAAGAATAAACGTTAAACTTATGACAAATAACCTGGCCCCAGTTTCACAAAAAAAGCTTAAGTCAGTTCCCTGGCTTAGTTGACTAGGATTTCCGTGAGAGTGCTGTAACACTGCTCCTGATAGGGTAAGATGTGCCCATGTGACCTTGTAACCTTGGTAATTAAGTTCTTTGCTAGGGAACCTGACTTAAGTTTTTTTTTTTTTTTTAACTGGGGCCTGAGCCCACAGGTTAGTCTAGGGGTCTCGGTGTGCCCACATCTTCAAAGCCCCCTTACCCACCTCCACCCACCCAAACCCTGTTGAAAGTTATATGGTGAATCAAACTTCCATCTCTGAAGGAAAAAAGTGGAACATGTAGAATAGCGCGTATTGCCCAGCGGGGAGACGGAAAGAGAATCCTCCAACACACACACACACACACACACACGCACACACACGCAGACACACACACACTTTGTAGACCTAAGATTTTGAATTGCCGTCGCACACCATCCCAAGTTCGATACATATCGAATGTTTTAAAAAGGACAGCCCTAGAAATACGTCTGGGTGACCCACTCTTAATAAATAAAACGTCGATATTCACATTAGATTTGTTTTGATGTCTTCCAATCTGGTCTAGGTTATATTTTATCGTAGTGTAATGTTAATAATTTAACAGCCACGAGTGAAGTAGGAGCGGGGAATGTTTTGTAGAGTAACCAAGTTGATTGACTTAAGTGGAGAATGTAATGTAAACGGTGGAGCCCATTTGTAAGAGGTTGACGGGAGAGGAAGAAAATATAGGTAAGGTAGTTAGGAAGAGACAATAAAGAATATGAAGGAACAAGATAGCTGTTTAGTTCTTACCTCGCGTAATCAGTAAGATAAGGTCAATACCTTCATGGCACTGGAATTCAGCTTATGAATGCTTATTGCAATTGATTCTTGGGCACATAATAAAGTATTTTCAGTAGATGTGGTAATATCGCGTAACCAATACAAAATTGAGTATTGATCTGGTTTATACCAACTCGCTTTTCGTCATAAACGCTGCAGATTAGGACACCAAGTGCGGTAGCTGAGACGAAGATTGCGATGACATCACATCAACCGCAATGCGATTGTGCTCATTGCTGTACTTCATGAGAATTTGGTCACCTTTCTGCCCCGTTAGAGCTGTAATGTATGATTTCTTGAACAGAGGCTTCGCCATAAAAATATAAAGAGTGTACGGTTGTCTTGAAACTTTCAGAAATGAATGAATGTATAATTGGCGAAATCTTGATGGCAAGAAAGTGGGCCTAGGCGTTTGACTAAAGTGGCACTTTTATTATTCAGTAATATAACGAAAAAGAGGGTCCAATGCATCCCTCAGCGAGCAGAAGAAACTAGCGTGAATCCTAAGTCTGTGATACCAAATGCCACATTCATTTCCTTATGTTATATTAAAAAGATGCATGCAATAATAACAAAAAAATGACCTCAGATTTTATTTCAAATCTGCCTGTCAATTTAAAAACTGAATTATGCCATTACGTCATTCTCCAGTTTAATTTCCTGTCGTTAATAAGGCATGCAACCAAACTTGAACACACACACACACACTCACACACACACAAACACACACACACACACACACACACACACACACACACACAAACTATTTCTGCTTTCTTGCTCCTCCCCTGTTCTATCCTAGGTTAACATGCACTGTTTTCACAACAAGCATCTGTATGTCATCATCGTAATTTGTTGAACAGGGTTTTGTTCAAGAGTGATTTCGAGTGCAAAAGTAGTACCCTGCGACACTTCAGCGATAAAAATGAGCACCAAAAAGTCATCACAGATCGATTCGGCATTGTTAACCTTTTCTTCCCCTTTTGTAGAATCCTAAAGATTACCTCTTTATACTACATATGTTATTTCTTTCCGTTGACAAATACAAAGACTAACGACATTTTAATAATCATGGTTCAGACAATGTACCAGCACTTCCAGTGCGGGCATCGTTTTGTATAGAGCTTGTTCTCAATTCAAGAGAGTCAGGTGAAACGATCTTTATGTAATACAGGGCATATGGGCACAAATAGGATTTTTAACTTTAAACAAAAAGGTGTAAGCTTTTCATAACAAGAGGATGTAAGGGTCATCTTAAGGGGGTATTTTTGGGGGGTGCATGGTGCATGGTGCAAATCCGGAGCACGGCGGCTAGAGAAATTGGCCACAGAATGTTCGGTAGTATTACAGTCGTTGAAGTGTTTTATCAAGCTAGGACATATGTTATGTGCTTGCTTGCCAATGAACGAGTCAACCGTCCTTTTGAATAACATCTTTAGTGACTGCATTTCATTTTTCTGACAGTTAAATTCTCTCTCTCTCTCTCTTCATCATTTTTCGTTGCAGATGATTTTAACCAAGCCCTGACTAACAGGGTTCCTGTCATTTTATATAAACGCAAAGTAATACATTCCAAACGTTCGTAATTTAACCGTGTTTTAAAAACACGACTATAAGACAAGTCAAAAGAGGACAGCAATAAAACGTCGAGTCATTGAAGAAGATTACCTGTTTTAAAAAGAAAATTGAATAAAACGTGCTCCAAGTCAAACACCCTTTTGTCGTCTAAAGATCTTTCAATAGATCTGTCATGAGAATTGTCAACCGACTTGGCATGCCTGGTGGGCCAACGTTCGTCCCTGGTCGTATTTTACTTCCCTTAAAGTGCAATTACACAATTCTTATTGCAGCTGGTATCCGTATTACCTACAGGGATTACAATTTAGTTTTTACGATTTTATGTTGTGACAGTTTTTCTTTTTTTTTCCTCGTAAAATAGTTACACCTTTGGCGGTTGAACCAAATCTATGCAGACTACAAGAGGTTATAATGATATAATATGATAGAGTAGAATACAATACGATACAATGCAATATAATACAATACAATACGATGAAATACAGTACTGCACTCTACTTAGAGTGCAGTGCAGTGCAGTGCAATGCAGTGCAGTACAGTACAATAAAATAAAGAATTTCAGCCCTCCCCAAACATAATAATAATCTTAATAACATTAATAATGCTCGAAATCAAAGCAAAAGAATACCCCCAGTATTTTCTATTCCAGAATATACCTGCCATCTATTCGGAGACAGTGAACTCGGGGTGTGGATTTTTAAAAGCGTAAACCATTTTCGTCCTCGGAGCTACTTCTTAGTTTAAAGAAAACATTCTTCTTCGAAATTCGACATTATTTCAATGATGGACACATCTATTGTTATTATACAGAATAGAAATATTTGGCATCTTTATTTTGGGGTCTAATAGTAAATAATGGCTATTCACGAAGTGCAGAACGCTTTTCTGTGACCCGTGCTCCTCTTTGCACCCGCTCTTCGCGTGTCTCGTCACCCGTTTTGTGCGTTCTCTTATATCTTTTTCATTAAATCAATATCTATATAGAAAGACGTCCCTTTATGCCTCAAAACCATCTGCACTTGACTAGTGCTGACGTACAATGGGCACACACACGTTCACATTCCAAAACCACCTTGTCAAAACATTGGTATGACATGGTATGACACGTTATACGCCTTGAACAAAAGGTTCATCCTTTAATACTGACGCAAATATTTGTTGAGTTTTGTGTTTTGTAAGAGAGGAAGATGCGCTTTATTTTTATGGAAGAAAAAGAATCGAATGACGTTAAACTGTGGTATTAACGCGACTGATGGTTAAGATCGGGTTCTAACAGAGAACCGTCAAGTGGGTACTTCATTGCCTACTAGCATTTGGTTGCACTGCCTTCAGTTGCACTCTAAATTAAGTTCACAGCAAACGCTGAGACGGGGCTTGTCTATCAAAATGACCACTATATTCCCTAATGACCAGTATCGAGGATGATGAAGTTCAAGTTCTTTTTAGAGAGTAAAAATTATTTTGATATCTATTCTTTCCTTATACATGTGTGTAAGCTATATGTATATTTACCAATACAACACATTTGTCATATTTGTACAACCAAAAGATGACTATAATTGACCAGTAGCTATTGATAGGAACTTCTCCATGGAGCCTCCTGCATATTGGTAGATTTAAAGTCATTATGCCACAAAAAATTCTAAAATATTATAGAGTGAGACATCCACAAAGGCTTAATAAACGGTTTGATCAGTTTAGATGAAAATGAATAACAAATGAAAAAAGAGAGAAAAAAGTGATAATCTATGCTCTGAATTAGGATCCAGATTTCCCAACGTTTTATGGCCGGAACTATCCATTATATGCATTAAACCGATGGTCACTTCAAAGTCCAGTACAATGTATAGTAATCGTAAATAAAATTGGAGCGTTTTGGGTTTCCAGATCAAGGGATCCGTTGTGATATATGAGCCTCGCGTGACACTGGTCAGTTCAACTGCCCACAAGATCTGTCCACCATAGATAAAGACCAGCGGCTGTTAAGAATCATTTTCTGGGCTCTAGATCAAGGGTTTCGCGGCGATAAATAACCATAATGTCGCGGATCCTTTTTGAAGCTCCGGAAACGAAGATGTTAATGTTTTCGGTTATCAAAGATAAATATATGTGATTTTTTTTTCTTACAAAGGGCGCCGAGGTTCTTTTTCTCCGCACGTGTTTTCAAATAGTGAAGAATGTTGTTTTGTGGCGTTTTTGATGTTTTAGCAAAATTACGATTGTCGTAAATTGCCGTAAATTGTCGGTGGCTGAATTAATCTGTGTAGTCTTTGGAAATAGAGATTTACCAAGCA